TGACAGAAAACAGTTTTTCAATACTGTACGATTCCTATGAAGTACTGTTTTGGAGAAACGAGTGGCTTCAATGAATAGATTTTGCAACAATTAAATGAAATTGTTGTAAAGAGTTAATTCTAAACGACGAAATTTTGTTTACGAATGCTTGAAATTCAAGATGTTGTAGTGCAGGACCGGAAATACTATCGAAAAAAAGAATGACTGGAAAATTAATTTCCTAGCATTATATAGTTGTCCGCAGCTATTCTTTTCTTGTATAGATCACTACCATAGTAAAAACTATTGTTTTCATTTAGACGATAAACTGGAACCTCCTCCAGGTGCCGTAGCACACAGCTTTGCTTTGCGGCTTCAAAAGAACCTCTTCGGGTGAGTCCACTATAGATATAGTTAACAACAGCAAATTATAGAAATGAGTTGATGCATTTCTTACACTAGAAAACTGTCCAATAAGTATGTAGTTAGAATTCTTCTTCCCGAACATTGGGCTCGCATTCTGACGAATCTACATACTTTGGCACAAGGATTTACCCACAATGAACGCCCAGCAGATCGTTTGAACCAGTCAATACTCAAGATACTTTTGAAGTTGTATGTGCTGAAAAGAAACAATATGTTCACGGAACATGAATTTCAATTATTCCGTGATTTGGATGATCGTTTGAACTCATCAGTCAAAATTTTTGTCAAGCTTTATGAAGGTGCTTTCATTATCAATCGACACCGTCTCACACGCGAATTCAAAGAGTGCCAAAAATTGCTACATACAATCATAGCTAATCGTCTCTCACCTAATAGCCACGAACGTATCGACTTTATTTTTAGCTTTTTATCTGACGGAGGTTTTCTCAAATTTGTATTCGACTCAAAATCCACACTAAATCATACTATGGTCAGAGAGATGATCGTTGACATGGGCTTAATCATGAACCAGCGATTAATCTGATCTGATCTGCTTCGGTAATCCAGAATAATAAATATGCACGATTGAGCATTTTATCAACTGAATCATTCGAGTCATATTGTACATCATCCGCCATAATTATCTCTGATTTCATTCATTCATTGTATAATAAATGAAAAAAATCAATCTTGAACGTCGAAGAAGACAAAATCATTCAGAGTTAATAACGAATTATTTTTGTTTTATACAGTGGGACACTCGAATAGTTCTTTTGACCAGTTCTTTCAAGAAGTATTCTAAATCTGGTTTTCCTGTTGATTTCCAAAGTATCATCATTAGTGTGTAATACATTCGTGTATTCGATTATACAACGTCAGTAGAGATCAGTTTTACATTATTTAGCATTGTGTTGTTGTGGCCGAATATAATTCACTATAGTTGATATTTGAGTTTTGAACAAAGAAATGGATCTTATGAGATAAAACTTGTAGAATATCATAGTCTAATTGTACTTGTTGACTTGATTTATTTACATAAAAACTTTTTCGTACGAGAAACGGCTTCAAATTCTGCAACGTCTTATATGAAGATGTAAAAGAAAATATACGACGGCAATGTAGGAAAAAAGTAATACTAACAAAAAATAGACAAAGATATTTACTTTTTGTAACAGTACAGTAGTAAAATTCACTATCCAGCATTTTTGAATATAAAAAGTCTTTCTGTCAGTAAATGTGGGTGCGGACGTGCTACTTCTGTTCATCCACATCGATTCTCAATTATGCTCGACGTATAAGTACAAGATAATGTAGCTTGTAAACATTGATCTTTACCTGTTACATAAACATGTTATATAGTTAGATACATTAATTTCACCCATTTTATTCAAATGGTAGATAATTTTAACAATATATTGCTATTAAAGAAGAAAAATAGAGAAAAAAAAATGTTCTGGACTGTAATAGTAGCTAATTGTTCGTATTTTATCACAAGTGTACAAAGACATGAAAGATATGTGTTTACATGGCATAGAAATTGATCAACATAATCAATGTGTGCATAATGAAGTGTAAGTTGAATAAGATTTAAATATGAAATCTTTGAAGAGATGCGATATTCATTTTTTTCTGATGATGCTAAATTGTGAACTAAAAGATATTTGAGTAATGAAACAACTCGAAATATACATTAAAAAAGGTCATGCTCAAATGGACGTACATCGTACAAGGTATTAGATAAATATAACAATATATAAATCCATCTATGAAATGATCGATACAATAACAAATTAAAGAATATTTTCAATTACTAAATATATTTTGAATATCATTAGTTGATAAGAAAGAAATAGTTTCAGACGTTTTTATGATTGTACATATATAACATATGAATAAGAATTTCTACATCGAAATAAATTTTATCAATAAAGGTTAATCGTATTATGTTAAGACACAAAGTAAGACTATTTTATTTTGTCATTCGATAATCGTAAGTATTTTTATATAAATAATTGGTCAAAGAGAATTTTTTCAGATTAGATAAAACTTTTTCTATACAAAAGAAAAAAAAAGAATAATTTTTATAAAAACATATCACACACTTTAATTAAAGTATACCTACTTGATTATTTTATTTTCTATCTACTGATTCATACATTTTGGTCTCAACAATCGTGTGTTTGATCTGCTCTCAGAACAATCGACAATCATTCTAATAATATGATCAAATAGATATTCATTATATGATAATAATAAAAACATATTCTTTACCTGTTAAATAATATAAAAGGCTTAGATTAGGATATTCACAAGCAAAAAGAATAGGTTCAATGGAACATAATGTAAGACCATGTAATACAACCTTATGATATATTTGATGTAACATTTCATAACAAAATTGATTGAGTTTAATCTCATCAATTGAAGAAAATTGATCATTTGATCAAGTCGTCTATTAGCATCTATTAATGAATACAGAACATACATGGAACCAAGATTCTTCAAAATAATTAGTAGCTATTGCATATATATTACCATCAACAAGATCAACAATGCTTTGTTCGCTCACGCGTTCGAAAAGACAGTCGTATTTTCATTTCTCTAGTAATGTAGCAGAATGTATCATAGACGAATAAATCGATTTTTCTTTATTGAATAAAAACTTTTACAATGTTCAATCGATAGAATGAGAAAATATGCAGAGAAGAGAAATTAGTATGTAAAATTGTGCTTTTGTTAATAAGGTAAAAGCAGTTTCCTGTTCATTTTTCATAAATAAATATAATATATTATTTTAAAAAGAAAACCATCAAACACAGATGTAGTTCAACACTAGCTTCTATAAATGATGCTAAATCAAATCACTACTATTATGGATTCATTTGTTTTCTGATGCGAAAGGAAAGGTACTGGTGATAAAATTTTTTGAGTACATCTTAGTTCTATTTATATAGTTATCTCTCATACTTACTGTTGCTAATATTGCTGTTCAAATTTACTTCATTGTCAAGCTGTATGTGTCCAATAGTAGTGTGAACAAGCATACAATATAACAAATGATCAATATGAAGA